GGATCGATAGTTTAGATAAAAATCTTGTTTTTAAACTGTTTAAATCAGATTTATTAACATGAGTTTGTAGTTTGTCAAGTTGCTCCAGGCAAGAACAAATTTCGGGTTTGATAATGGCTACAGAAAGACAAATTACACTGTGCAACATTTTCGGAAAAAAAATTAAGATGATGGGGTACTAAAAGTATTTTCGGTTTTTACGATTAAAATCATGAATTATTACGTTAACATAATGTTTAGATTGATTCTGGTTTTTTTAAATATCAATTTAAAGTTTTAGTAATTCTGGATCCCGAAATATCGTAAAATAATAAATAATTAGTACTTAAAAGATAATTATTGGTTTTGTATATTGTTTTAAAAAGTAATAACAATCAAATAAAGAAAAAAATAATTAAATAAAAAAATAATGAGAAAAATAAAAATTGAACCTTTTTCTGGATTTAATAAGTTGTAGTGCAATTTCTTAGTTTCGCTTCTACCATAATAATAATTATAGTAATTATTATTATTATTATAGTAATTATTAAAAACATATTCTTTTTAACAAATAGAATGAAACAACATAAAAGAAATAACAAATTTTATTTATAATTTTATGCCAAAATTTCCATTGGCATAGACCAACAAAAATCTGCCAACATCGAATCAAACCTCTTTCCTCTATAACGATTTTCCATTTCCAATTCTAATTCGGTGGACAGCTGATTTTCGAACAGGTCAAGATGTGCATGGAGCAAATGTACTTTTAGTGACCTGTTTATACCCATTTTTAATTTTTGTTTTATTTTTTATTATTTCTTTTTAATTTATTGTTATGACAAGAATTTCCTACCAGTTAAAATTATAATTGGTTTAAATTAATAAATAACGCTTTTTCGGGTTCTTAAATTAATAAAACTTAAAATCGATATTAAAAAAACACCTGAATCAATCTAAACATTCTGTAAACGCAAAAAGGCATTCTTTGGATAGGAGAAACGAAAACCACTTTCAGAACCCCATAATTTTTTTTTGTTTTGGTTTAAATTAATAAATAACGGTTTTTCGTGTTCCAAAATTAATAAAACTTAAAATCGATATCAAAAAAACCTGAATCAATCTAAACATTCTCTAAACGCAAAAAGGCATTCTTTGGACAGAAGAAACGTAAACCACTTTCAAAACACCATCATTTTTTTGGTGTTGCACTGTGTAATTTATAAGAGTGGAAATATTGGACCGATTTGAGAAGAATTCATTTCAATAAGTTGTGGTGGTACAAAAAAATTACATAATTTAAAATCAAGTATTACCAAAAAATTTGGAGATAAATACTCATTTATGAACCCATTAAACTTCGACCGCGAATAATATGTATGGTGTAGATAAAGACTATGTGATGGGAACAATCTTATTTTGCGGGCAAATATCAAGTGCTTACCTACAGATAATAAACTTAAAATGCGCATTAAAAAACAATATACCTATACGTATATATACAATTAGTAGAAGTTTCGCCTTTTATTCGTAAAATGCTTTTGGAAAATGAACGTGTTTACATTGGTTGAAGTAGTTGTTTAGTTGTCGATTATTGTTCTATATTTCGTTGTTTTAAATGCTGCAGATTTTCACGTATAATAAAAGACTGTAAAAATAGTTTAACCTGCCCTAACTGTTCCATAGAACATGAACTTAAAGACCGTAAATCAGATAAAGTAGATTTCAAATGTCTAGTTCAAACAAAAATAACATTTTTCCTGCACATCAATCGGGCTTTCATAAAAATTACAGTACCAGTACATGTCTGTTGGACCTTACTGATAATATTTTTAAAGCCATTGGACAAGAAACAGGCCGCGGTCTTGGTGTCCTTAGACTATTTTAAAGCCTTTGACACAATAAGTCATTCCATTCATTGTTTCAAGCTATTATCGTTTTGATCAAGTTTCTTCCAAGTTTTTTAATTTATATCTAACTAAAAGAACCCAAAAAATACGCTTAAAAACACGTAAACGCTATCTTGCTGTGTACCATCTGGAGTCCCACAAGGCTCTATACTTGGACCTTTAATTTTTATTTTATATATCTATTTAATCAAACAAAATATGCACATGTTCAAGCGGATGATACATAAATACATATATACATATTAAATACAAATCCAAACAAAAATCATCGTAAAGAATTAAAAGATGATCTCAAATTTTTCATAAATAATGGGAACCTAAAAGATTTAGAAGGCTAAAAATTTGGGTGTTATAATCGATGAAATTCTACGATTTACCAGTTATGTTAAGAAGCTTTTGCAAAAAACATATCTACTCCTTAAATTGCTTTATAGTAACAAACATATTTTAAACTTTAAAATGCGCAAAAAATTAACAGAAAGCCTAGTTCTTCCTATTTTATTATTGCAACATTTTGTACTTCCCATGCCTAGACCTTCAAACTAAAACTTGTATACAAAGTTAATTTTGAAAAATAATATTTACAATCGCCAAACACTACATCTAAACGTACTTACCTTACCTAAACACTCAACTGCTTTATTTACCCGTTCTTTTTCTTTTAATGCAGTAATGTAATATAATTCAATTGACAATGGTATAAAGTCCATGTCTATATAAATTTAGAAAACATACAAGTGCTTCTTTACTTAATCTTTTTTTCTCTTCTTAATTGTTTTATTATTTTATTATTTAGAACCCGAGTCAAAATTAAGATCGTTATTTAAACCGTAAGTCTGACAATTTCCGTCTTAAACGGTTTTATATTCGCCTAAAGATAACCAACTTATGACCTAAAACATGGCAGATGAGTCCATTTTCCCGATTTTTCGGTTCTAATTACGTTTAATTTTCCCGAGTCAAAATTTAATTCGTAATTTAAACCTACCAAAACCTGTTCAGTCTGTTTACTCCAATTTAGCACTATAGAACAACCGAATTAATCTTCATTTGAACCGATTTAAACCGATTTAAACCTCTAATAAAATTTTTGGTTTAAATTTAAACGTAATTAGAACCGAAAAATCGGGAAAATGGACTTATCTGCCATGTTTTAGGTCATAAGTTGGTTATTTTTAGGCGAATATAAAACCGTATAAGACGGAAATTGTCAGACTTAAGGTTTAAATTACGATCTTAATTTTGACTCGGGTTAAGTGTAATCCCGAGTCAAAATTTAAATCGTAATTTAAACCTACTTTGACCTACCAAAACCGATTTAAAACCTGTTCAGTCTGTTTACTCCAATTTAGCACTAGAACAACCGAATTAATCTTCATTTGAACCGATTTAAACCGATTTAAACCTCTAATAAAATTTTTGGTTTAAATTTAAACGTAATTAGAACCGAAAAATCGGGAAAATGGACTTATCTGCCATGTTTTAGGTCATAAGTTGGTTATCTTTAGGCGAATATAAAACCGTTTAAGACGGAAATTGTCAGACTTACGGTTTAAATTACGATCTTAATTTTGACTCGGGATACCTTTTGCTTTTTGCCTAAATAAGAATATTTAAATTTTTAATATTAGTTTTATAAAAACATGCAAAAAGTAGTAATTGGACATTTTATATAGTAATTGGACACATGGACCATAATTATTGGACGTACAATTTTTATATAAACAATGTTAAACAACTTTACATCAAATAACATAAATTGTTTTTAATATTTAAATATTTATTAAAGAAAAATTGCTGTTTTGCTTAATTTTTTTTATTTCGTTTTTGTAAATATCATATAATTCATATATTTCTTTCTCGGATTCCTCATCCCTTTTCTGGATTCTGAAGGTAACTACTAATTCCTTGGTCTGACTTCTGAAATTAGTTTAGGTCAAATATAATTAAGTGTGGTATCTCTAGTTTAGGCCGGAACAGGATAATTTATTTATATATAATATTTTTTCGGGTGGTATGTTAAAAGTATTTTCCGAATTTATTAATTTTGTTGCCATGCGTTTTTTATGTTCTCTATCATGCACTGTATTTCACTGTTATAACAATGATTTAATACAGTGATTTAAATACAGAATATATTCTGCAAGATGTCCTGCGACGAAGAATTTACTATATTACTTACTCTCTAAAAATGAATTAGTCAAAAATGTCATAGCGAAAAAGCAGCCACTAATAATTTTTGTCAACAGCAAGTGTATCCAGGACATTTAGCAGTCAATTCCTATGAAATATTATTCGCTGAATCCGAAAATGTCGTCAAAAGTTATAAAAGTAGAAAAGTTTTTGAAATATAATCAATTTTATATATAATATGGAATTGACTACATCTCAAAAACTTTTTGACGGTCATTTCGGATTCAGGGGACAATTTTACATAAGAATTGTCTGGTAAATGTCCGTTATACAAATAGAGTATGATATTGGACATATGTCCAATAATAGAAATTTACATTTTTTGCCAATTGTACACTGGCCATTTTACTGTTTGTTTTCAGAATTAAAATTAAAACGCATTAAAGTGACAATGTTTAAACCATGAGGAACACATTTATACCACACACTGATCTGTACACTTTTTAGAAATATTTTTTATTGTAATTTAAACATAGCCCTGCTCTTAACAAAAAACAAAAATCTTACCACCAAAGTAACGAGCGAACTTTTTTGTCCTATATTGGAGTAGTTCTATATTATTACCGACTTAGATATTTATAATTGTATACGTCATCTAATGATTTGACTTTAAGGTAACTATTTATAGAACTCTTGTTTTTGCAGTATTAATGTTAATTGTCCAATAACTATAAAGTGTCCGATAACTGTCTATAGTATACTTTACCCTAAATTCTGTTTTTGTTTTTGTTTTTGTTAACACTATTTAACATTAATTTAATTAACACACCCGGTTAAGTGTAAGAGTAGCCTTAGGCTAAACTCCGTGTGTGCCACTTACTTTATTTTATTTATTGTATTAATTTTACTTTCAATAAAGGCTATTATTATTATTAATTTTGACAAAGTTTCGGTTTGACCAAACTAGAGATGTAATTTAATTTGTTACCCTGTGTTATGAATAAAAGACAATATAATAAATATATAAACATGTATTAATACATATACTTAAAATTAAACTTTAACAACGGCTTTCCCAGTATTTTTTCCATCCAACATTTCAGTGAAAGCCTTAAACATATTTTCAAAACCAACGGTAACAGTTTCCTGAGTTTTCAACTTCCCCTCCTCTATCCATTTCCTGTTTTGTTCAATTCCCTCACTCCATCTATCGGACCACCTGTACACCATAAAACCTTCCATTTTTAACTGCTGGAAGGTCATGGGATATTGAACAATGGAAGCTTTGGGTACTGATGTATCGTTGTAACCTGAAACCGCTCCACATACTGAAATTCTTCCATAGAGGTTCATGCTATTTAAAACCATGCTACTGATCTCGCCACCAACCTAAAAATAATAACGTTGGCATATAGGTTGATAAACCAAACTGAATTTTCTTACGTTATCGAAGTAGCAGTCCACACCTTTGGGTGCGACTTGTTTTAAAGTCTTGAACACATTTTGTGTCTTATAATTGATAAAATGGTCGAAATTGAGTTCTTCAGTCAACCATTTTCCCTTTTCATCTGATCCTGCGATGCCGATTACTTTGCACCCTTTGATTTTCGCGATTTGTCCAACAATACTTCCAACAGCTCCGGCAGCTCCCGACACAACCACAGTTTCACCTGCCTTCGGTTGGCAGAGTTCCAGGAAACCAAAGTAAGCGGTGTTTCTAAAAATATGCGAATCGCATTTGTTATTAAAAGTTTCTGTGAGTTTATTTAGGTTTCCTACCCTGGCATCCCAAGAATCCCCACACCGTAGGATAAGGGAAGTTTTCCGAAATCGCTGAATACGTAATGATCTATCTGACCTTTGGTGACGCCTATAACATTTTGTTATTAACTAGTTTTTTAATTAACTGGTTAAGGGTTGTTTTACCATTTGAAACGGTGTGTGTTCTCCAGCCGAAGTCGCCTACCACATGCTTTCCAACAGGAAATTTGGGGTTTTTACTTTCCAATATTCTAAAGGGAAGAAAGTTTATTTACAAAAAAATAAAAATTAAATGTCATGATTTTGTAAACAAAGCTATTTATAGAAACTCAATTAATACCTTATAATAACAGTTCCTAATTACATTTTATGAAAATTAACTATATTTTAATTATTTTGTTTATCGAAAGCAATTATGGTGTTTTTATTAAAAACATTTAGATAACAACAAGTTTTAAAAATACTTATAAATTTTACGTTTTGTCTATATAATTTCTAGAGGATTTAACTTGATAAATAAGTCAGCCCATTTTTATCAGGTTTATAAAATTTAATGTAAATAAACATGATAAAACTAAATTTATATGGACGGTATTTTTATTACATAAGGTATTTTAAATATATGTATATATACCATATAATATAATCATGAATGAAATATTTATTTGGAAATACCTATTAAAAAATAAATGCAAAAACTTGATGGGATAATCGTGTTCTATTTACTACGAGGTGTGTTCAGAAAATATCTTGAATTTTCGATTTTTGAAACAAATATTTATTTATTCGTCTTCATTAAGGTCGTCGCCTTCAAAATAGTCCCCATTGGATATTATGCACATGTGCCAGCTCTTCTTCCAATACTCGATACACTTCTAAAACTCGATCTTTGGGATAGCCTTTAGTTCTTTCAGCGATGCGCTTTTAATGTCATCTATGTTTGCAAAACGACGGCCCTTTAAGGTTCTCTTTATTTTTGGGAATAGGAAAAAGTTAGACAGAGGCATGTCTGGCGAATATGGAGGCTGGGGCATCATTACAGTATTGTTTTTGGCCAAAAATTTTGATCAAAATTTAACAATTTTAGAACAAATTTTTCTGCCACGCGTTTCATACCCAAAACATTCGAAAAAATTTCATGGGATGAGCCAATCGATATACCAACATCATTAGCGACTTCTCTGATGGTTTATAACCATTTCTTCCACTTTTTCCATGTTTTTATCGGTTAATGTGCTTGTGCGTTCGGGGCGATCGTCATCTTCAACGTCTTCACGGCCATCTTGGAAACTCTTATACCACTTGTAAACTCTTGTTTTACTTATAGCAGACTCACTATAGGCCTTTGTTAACATTTCACAGAATTTATTTTATTTTTTAAGCAAAATGGGATACAAATTCTATGATCCATTTCTTTTAACGAACGAAAAATCGCCGAACTCATAAAAACGTCTAACCTTAGCGGCTGCCACAGACAAAGTAAACAATGAAAACAGCTAAAGTTTTTATCATACTTCGGGGGCATGTACATATACCAACATAATAAAGAAAATTTTATGACCACCGGACACTCCGAACCCGCGAAATTTAACAATTCCCGTTATTTTCTGAACACACCTCGTATATGCACTCTAAAGTTGTATAGTATTTTTTTTAAGTGTAAGTACTCCCACTTATAAAGATTTTTTTTTAAATAATGCGATTTCTATTGAATAATTTTTGGTCACGAAGAACTTGTTATAAAAGTCAAGTGTAGCCAAATCACAACCTCTACATGGCCATATTTGGTCTTCAGTGACGTATCAGTAATTAACCAATCGGAGCACCGCATTCTAGGCCACTATCTAGTCTGCGGTGAAGAATGCCAAGCTCTGATTGGATAATCAATTTTAATTGAAACCACATTCTATAAAAAGTAAAGTCACAAATTTAAGAAACACCCACCAGTTTGAGCTACCAGCAAACCCAGTTGCCAAAAACTTTATTAAAACATTTCTTTCTTATATTTTGCTTTTTATTTTAATTTCTTGTTAAAAAACTGCTAAAAGAATTATTTAAAAATAATAGCAGAGTATAAATAATAACTTTTTTCTTACTTAGCTACTTGAAGTCCAATCATGGTGGTACCTAAAGAAAGTCTTGGAGCATATGCCCTCATATAAGGATCCACACTGAGAAATACTGCTTCACATAAAAATTCTAAAAACAATATTTATATATTTTAAAACAAAATTTAAAGAATACCTATACAAAGTTAATTTTTTTTACATAAAAAATAATCTTACCCCCATCTTTAATTGGCGGCAATTCTTCCTCCACCAATTTTAAATCGGTTTCCTTTGGAACGCCTTGGAATTGTTTTTCAAATTTATACACCTTAGCCTTGACCATAGCTGCAAAGTTTCTAACTGTTTGGTTGTTAATGTTCGGTGTCGAAATAACTTGAGATAATATTCTTGATCTGATTACACTTATAGACATTTTGTACTACACTAGATTTTAGTAGGAATGCTTATTTATTGTTAGTTTAAATCAGGATGATTTGCAGGTTATAATCTATAATGTATGATATCAGTAACCTTGTTGAGTGTGTGGCGTGGTAATGTTTTTATTACTAGTGTGTAGCGATGTTGCCAAGTCTTAATAAAATTTTTAAATTAAAGAAAGAATAATAAAATTCAAAAAATGTTATATTTGGTTTAAATTTATGAGGGTCCTTCGAAAAGTAGTGTAAGTATCTACGCTGTTTTATTTTGTACAATTTTAACATTTTTTTTGTAGTAAATCAGGGTTTGTAATTATTTTAAGAAAGGCAAACATTTGACCGAAAGTTTTGTAAAGGTAATATGCAATTTTGAAAGCATTTTGTTAATTTTAAATATTATTTAACGAGTGTGCGAAGTTTTTGAAAAAAGATGCCATCACTGGTTTTCAAACTGAAATTAGGGGATACAGTAAAGTGGGTAAAGTTACAAAACAAATTTGTAAGTGTTGTATTAGAACTACTTTATTTTGGGTCCAATATAGGACAAAAAAAGTTCGCACGTTACTGTGGTGGTAAGATTTTTGTTGTTTTGTTAAGAGCAGGGCTGTTTTTAAATTACAATAAAAAATATTTCTAAAAAGTATACAGATCAGTGTGTGGTATAAATGTATAATGTATAAATGGTTTAAACATTGTCACCCTAATGCGTTTTAATTTTAATTCTGAAAACAAACAGTAAAATGGCCAGTTTCCAATTACTGGTTGGTAAAAAATGTAAATTTCTATTATTGGATATGTCCGATATCATACTATATTTGTATCCCGGACATTTACCAGCCAATTCTTATGTAAAATTGTCCCCTGAATCTGAAAAGACCGTCAAAAACTATAAAAGTTAAGCATTTTTTGAGATATAGTCAATTCCATATTATATGTAAAATTGATTATACTTTAAAAACTGTTCTACTTTTATAACTTTTTACGACATTTTCGTATTCAGCGAATAATATTTCATAGGAATTGACTGCCAAATGTGCTGGATATAAACTGCTGTTCACGAGAATTATTGTATATATAGTGGCTACTTTTTCGCTATGACATTTTTGACTAATTCATTTTTAGAGAGTAATATAGTGATTTCTTCGTCACAGGACATGTTGCAGAATAACAGTGATTAAAATACAGTTCATGATAGAGAACATACAAAACTAATGGCAACAAAATTAATAAATTCGGAAAATAATTTTAACATACCACCCGAAAAATTATTAGATATACCTATATATAAATCATCCTGTTCCGGCCTAAACATTATAAATGCTTCACAAACTAGATATACCACACTAATGATATTTGCAACAAACTATTTCAGAAGTCAGACCAAGGAATTAGTAGTTACCTTCAGAATCCAGAAATATATGAATTATATGATATTTACAAAAACTAAATAAAAAAAATTACCTAAAACAGCAATTTATCTTTAAAAAATATTTAACAATTTATGTTATTGGATGTAAAGTTGTTATGTTTGTATAAAAATTGTATGTCCAATAACTATGGTCCATGTGTCTAATTACTATATAAAATGTCCAATTACTATACTTTTTTGCATGTTTTTATGAAACTATGAGAAAAAAACTAAAATGTTTAAAACAACGGAATATACATAAATTTTAAATAAATAATATTCCTGAAATGTCCAATAACTATGTGGTTTACACTATACCCTATACCTATACTACTATTATATTATACCAATTTTTTTATAATTTGGTGATTGCAGAAGGTGGTGTTATTTAATTGTGTGTATGTTATTTTTGTGTTCATTTATGTACATAGGTGTGTCTTAATTTTTTTGTTTAATAAAGCAACATTACTTATCAAAATTCTTTTAATTTAAGTTCCCAATTTTCTATCAATACTTTTGTTACTGGGTATACAAAAAGGATTGTAAAATGTCTGTTATAATTAAAAACTTCTTATTCAATTAGTTAACAGATTACAGTTGGTTGAAAACTTAACATAAAGTAATGTAGACCTTATTAACATAAAGTCTGTTTAATATTTTGTTAAAATTAACAAATATTTTTTTACTGTGTATGCTTCAGGCCAAGAACTTTTTAAACGACCCTCGTAAAGTTATTCACTTGATTTTATTTAAATCAAGGGGTTAATTTTATAAATTGATGGAGTTTAACAATAAAGCTTTAGCAAATTTAATTGTGAAAACCGTTATTGTGCATTTTTATTTCAAACCATCCGTGAAAATCACTTTACATACAAAACATTTTATCAGTCAGCACTAAGTACTTAAATGAAGCACAGTTTATACCGAATACCTACATATATATATATAATTTATTTGCTTTGTATCTAATTGAAATGTGGTCTTTCTATGCCAGTAAACATAATTTTCATTTCGTTTGCTAAATTGACTGCCAAATGATTTAAAAACTAAAGTTGATTGGATTAAACATGTTTTAAAAAAAGTTTAATTGAAAACGGTGTATTTGCTGTAGGAAATACAGATTTTTTTAGAATCACTTCCATTTAACATTTTTTTTTCATCGCATTTTGAATTCGTAATGACTTCCTGAGCATTTTCCGTTTTAACTTAAAAAAAAGTCCATTTCGTTTCCCTTATAAAATAATACAAAAAAAATTCCAATCCTTAAAACTGTTGGTGGTTTAAAAAAATGTGTTTGAAATAATATTTACTTACACGGAGAGAAAAGTATAATGCTGATTACCATAATTATAATACCTTTACTATAATTTATATTACTATTTGGGACAACTATCTTGTATATTGCCATGGCATCTGCAGATACTATGCATAATTAGTAATTTTTAAATATCCATGCACGTTAAACCTTAAGGTAAAATATTATTATTCTCAACCAATTTTGTTTTTAATTCTTATTATAATTAAATTTTTTCTATTACTAATAAGTATAGTAAATTTTAAAATATTATGTTGCCATTTTAAATATAAAATATTTTAAAATCGAATATTTTTATATGTTAACAATTAAAAATTTTAACATATTTATTGTACTTTTTAATATACAAAAATGTTATGAGAAAGAATTTAACCTACACCTCGCCAAAGTTTTTCTTCAAATACCGACAGACAGGTGGTTTGACCTATATTGGGTATCATCAGTGTCGACACGACACTGTCGAGCAACTTGTAGTAGTGGAACACACCTAAAACAAAGAAATACCTGAGCTTATATAACATGGTTGGTAAGCCAACAGAGGCGAGATGTAAGAACATCACGTGATCCACACCGTCTAACGACGCGTCGTACATACTATGCAACCAAGTAGGTTAAATTCTTTCTAATAAGTATTACCAGTAATGGGTCAAGAAAGTTTATTGAAGAAAATAAGAAAATTGAATGTTTAAAAATGAGTTACTATATTGTATTATATTTAAATATATTGTTTATTTACCTTAAACATAAAAGTATCTTTATTTTTACTATATTTTTTATTAATGTGTAATATATTATATTAGATGTACACCTTACATTTGATTAAATCATATAGTAAATATTACTATTTGTAGATAGTAAAATCAATTTACTTTACGAACATATTAAAAATTAAAATATATATTATACATTTATGATTTAGTAATATTGGTTTTGTAATCTTTACTAAAATTGTATAATAAAAATAGTATTTTGTATTACAATCTTAATATTCTTTTGACGAATATATAATATTGTTACCCAAAAAATTTGTAAATTTTACTTTATTTTTTTTACTATCTAAAATTTACTATACATTTCTCTCCGTGTATAACTTTCTAATGATATTGGCGCATTCGCCAAAATTGTAAATTGTCGAGTACACAGTAATAGAAACTGAATTATCGTTACTTGCTTTGTAATTATAGTTAATTTTTAAAAATAAAATCAAATCACATTTGCTAAATTCAAATTCGCCGAAGGCTTAAATTTTTAAAACAGCAGCGCTGCTGAACATCACAGACGGCGGGTTTATCTCTTGTAACGTCAGTGCTGAAAGCAAAAGCATGATTCCATTTCGATGTCAACATAATTTTACTTTAGTTTCTGACAAGGGAATATGTAGCTATGAGTTGATTAATAGACCATGTCATCGGTTATACGGCGGTGAACCGTTTTTTTCCTATTAATATAAATTAGATCGAAAATAACGCTGGCAGTCTGATATAATAAATTTGTGTGCGCAAAACATTATTGTTTATTAAAAAGAACCAACAATTTTCCACAATAATAACAAACAGCTATAAAATCATTTATTAATTCGCCCACGGTATGTCGCAAATAGGTTTGATACAAATTATTAGAGTAGAAAGCTTGCTATAGCTGACTTTGGAGTTTAACCATTGGTTGTTATTAAATATTGAGATAATTGGATTAACATAAAATCTGATTAAAATTAACAAATATTTTTTTATACAAACCGTACACAGTAAAAAATTTTGCCCGGGTAAATTTTTTAGTGTAGGGGTAAAAATAGTTACACTATTAAATACACTAGGTAGCATTTAGTGCTTATTAACTTTATTAAACACATTTAAAGAATATGAACATTATTCATTGGTACATTCACACTATTTATTATTAAAATAAATCAAAAGGGTAGAAAAACTTAATGCGAGTGTTTATTACCCCTTAATGTGTTAAATAGTGACAAAAGGTACACTACAGTGCATGCCAATTTCTTTGTTTGTTTTGATGTTACTAAGAGCTCTTTTTTCTTTACACTACTAGTGCACATTGTATCACAATTAAAGTTAAATTACACCAATAGTGGCAAAATAGACTAAAAAAACTGGTAATAACCGAAATGCGTTTTAAAATGTTTTGTTGGTACCTATCTACCTACGCAGTGCATATCCGGAGATACCGCGTTGTGGAAGTGTGGCATTTTTGTTCAGTTAGATTTTAATTACGGTGAACCCATAAGGGGACATTTTTATTTTTTGGTAAGTATTATACTTCCTTTTTCTTTAAGCCTTAATATTCAATAAATACCAATATGTTAATAGGATGTCCATACCCGACGTATATAATATATCAATAATTTACAACAGTAGGTCGGGTACTTGTAACATTAATAATATAAA